AAACTTGAAATCACAGATGCACATTTATAACTGTAATATATATACCAAAATTATTATACATTCTACAAATTCCTAAAAGAAATTGAGAAAATATTTGACTTTGAACTGGTATTGTCTTTCTATAGCTTTAGAATTCTTTTTTTGGGAAAATATTTGATTTTGAATGTTTTGCTTAAATCATGGAAATTATGTGAATTTATTGTTACCATCTTTTGTGCTACAGTTACCATTTATTAAAAAATAATTTTTTGTATAAATTTAATTAAAAAAACTTTTTATACAAATTTGAAGTCACTTAACAAACTAAACTGTACCCATGGAATGTAATTATTTAAACTATACCCACAAAATGTAATTTTATAAAATATGTTTGCCATATATGAAATTTCCCCTTATAATTTTTGCCTCGAGGCAATTAATTTTTTCGTAGGACATAAGTTTATATTTTCACATCATAAACAGATTTCGAAACTTGTTGGGTTTTTCCCCCTCAAGTACCTCAATTTTTTTGCTATTTTTTCCTATTGAATCATTAAACCACCCATAATTTATTCATTTTAAATATCGTTGGCTGATGTGGAACCATATTTTGTTAGGAATATTGATAGATGATACATATGTTGTTCCAGAACTCATTACAGTTCGAGATTAATTGTGTTTTACTTCAAATCATTTGAACAAATTAGATTACAAATGAGACTAACACACGTTTGTCTTTATTCCTTCGATCAAAATCATTACAATACGATCACAATTAAAGCATTTATAATGAAAAACCCGATCAAAATCAGTCAACAGTGTTTAAAAGGAATAAATTATGGGTGGTTCAATAATTCAATAAAAATATGACATAGTTAAGGCACCTAAAGAAAAACCCCAAATAAATTTAGAAATATGTTTATGAGTTCGGCCTATTCCATGAGTTAAAACATGTTATGCATATTTGCTTTTCTTGATTCAACATGGAATTCTATATGTGTAAATAATGATATACCATCTTAGGAAAAATTAGCATACAAAACGCACGTATTAAAATAGACATAATATATAAATATATTTTTTCAAAATTTTCTCATATGGAATCTACGGCCTTTAATATTAAGTGTACATATATGTACTTAAGCTTGTATTACGTTTAATAAGTAAATACATATATTCTACATGACTCTATAATACACATAAGATGTCACCTAAGATATCGCGTAGGACGTACGCCAATAGAATATTTCTATTTACTTGTTCAAATCTATACGAATTTAAGTATTTATTTATGCATTAAAAAATATATATATACCAAATAAAGTCAAGTTAAATAATACGTTTACGTGCTATGCAGATTAAAATCATATAGGCAAAAAAGGATTTCTTTTTTTACCCATATTTTATGAAGTTATACAGATGTAAAGAGAAAATAGAGTCATGAACTAGTAAATTCAAACACCCCTTTTAGCTTCAAATGTTTCAAAACTCTTTAACATTAAAGTGCCACAAAAAAAGGACACAGAACCTATGTGTGTCCACCAAATTCAACAATTAATTGAATTAAAGACAATTTTTCTTTTTTTCTTCCAATCACCTCCCTTTATTTAAACACCTATCTATATATATATATATATGCCCCTTATTTTCATATCCATCAAAAACACTTTCATACAACAAAATAACACACACACAAAAAAAAAAAGTATGGGGAGGCCACCTTGTTGTGATAAAATTGGTATCAAAAAAGGTCCTTGGACTCCTGAAGAAGATATCATTTTAGTATCTTATATTCAAGAACATGGTCCTGGAAATTGGAGATCAGTCCCTACTAATACTGGTAAGTTATATCTGATGTATGGTATTCACATTGAGATCTGATTTTCATATCTGATGTCTGGTACTCACATTAAGATTCGATTTCCATATCTAATGTCTGGTACTCACATTGAAATCTGATTTTCATGTCTAATGTTTGATACTCACATTGAGATTCGACTGAAATTCCTGTTGGAAACCATATAGGTAAAGTATTCAATTTTGAGGCTTGAATGTGAAACTTTTGGTTAAATAATAAAGAAGTACTTAGCACTCCACCAGAAGGACGACTTCCCTAGTGCTAATATTGGTTTATAGTTACTTTATGTTGGTGTTATAATTATAGGGTTAGATTTTTCTTCTTTCTTTATAGAAAAGATTATAATTTTCTTTAATTAATTGTTTAATTAAGCAAACTTATTGTTTTTTTTTTCTTAAAAGGGTTGATGAGATGCAGCAAAAGTTGTAGGCTAAGATGGACAAATTACTTGAGGCCAGGAATCAAAAGGGGGAATTTCACTCCACATGAAGAAGGAATGATTATCCATCTTCAAGCTTTGTTGGGTAACAAGTAATCTTCTTCACCTTCTTAGTTACTTTTTTTTTTTACTCATTGTAATTTTAATCATACAATTAAAAAAATATTAAAAATATTGAAATAAGTGTAAACAGACAGTGAAAATTCATATAGCTGACTTTTCAACTTATTAAAAATTGAAATGTATATGTTTGTCCAGATGGGCAGCTATAGCTTCGTATCTACCTCAAAGGACAGATAACGATATCAAGAATTACTGGAACACGCATCTGAAGAAAAAACTCAAGAAATTCCAAATAGAATTGGATTCACATAATTTGACTCTTCCTCCTCCTAATTTAGACAATTCTAACACTAATAACTATGATCATCATCATCATCAATTCACAAAGTTATTGAACTCTCCAAATTCTTCATCTTCATCATCATTATATGCTTCTAGTACTGAAAATATTTCAAGACTTCTAGAAGGTTGGATGAGATCTTCCCCTAATCCTTCTAGAAGAAACAACATTGATCATGATGAAATGTTGCATGAGGCACAAAAAGAATTACAAGATCAAGATGGAGGAGTTAGCAATGATGATGTTGTAATAATTCCAAATGTGAATGTTGATTGTGAAAGTAGTGAAGTTGTCACACATGAAAAGACAAGTCCTCCTCCATTCACATATCTTGAAAAATGGCTACTAGAAGAAAATGGTGGTCAAGTTGAAGAACTCATGGAACTTCCAATGATATTCACATAATAATATTAATTATTTCTCTTTAATTACAACTTATGACTACTTTTTTTTTCTTCTTGTGTGGAGTTTATTTGGGGGGCATGCATGCATGGCCTATTATTTGAAGAAAGCGTAATAGTTTACTGGTTCATGAGTAAGATCAACGAAAATGATGAGATCGTGAAAATTGCTTTTTCAAGTGTATTTAGCAGAACGTTCTACCAATCAAGGAAGGTTTTTAACTTCATGGCATGGGAATTGTACTAATGTTCGAGTGATGAAATAAGGTTTTTGATGACAGGATCTGGACGAAGTCCTTTAGATGTGTGTTAAGTTTTAAGTTAACATAGAGTTCTAATTTTATGTAACTTTTCTAATTATAATTAAATGTTAAAATAAGCTCCATGATAATACCTTTCTTCTCAAATCAAAGTGTTATTTATTTTGTAAATTAATTGATCATAGTTTATGATTATCAAGCTCATTGGTTTGTAATTTCTTCCATAAAGTAAATTAAATGCAATAATGGAGTATGGTAGGATTTTTTTTAAAAAAGTAGATATATGTAGGACCATTTAAAATCAATCATATATTTAAATATAATTAACCATTTGTCACTAAAACTATTAAAAAATATACCATACTGTTATAATTATAAATTGATATGGTTAAGTTTTATGCACTCATATCAATTATTAATATTTTTTTCGTTCAGATTTGTTTGTCATATTACGTTTTTTGAAAGTCAAATTAATTAATTTTCAAAATCAAAATAGATCACATTAACTCGATATTTTAAACAAAAAATAGGTATTCTAAAACTTTATGAAAAGTACTATCTATTGTAATTTTTTACATATTAATATGATGAAAAAATAATCTTAAAATGTTAGTCAAAGTTTTTATAATTTGACTCTAAAAATAAAAACTATGACAAATAATATCGAACGAAGGGAGTATCATATTAAGCTATTACTATAATAAGTAACATGTTTAAGTTTTATTAGTGTATATAACTTAAATTATCGTTATAATATTTAGCTATTATAAACGCAAAATATTTATCACCGATTTTAACATAATGTTAATAATGACCGACGATGAGGATGTAGACTACTTATAGAGTAATAAATAGCATTAAATAAGTTAATGAATCAATTATGAGAGATGGGACTAGTAGTCAAAACTCATAAAATTATAGAGTTATTAATACTATAGCCCCATAATTGAGGTACTTAATTTCAAGCTCTAAAACATGAACTAATAGAAATTAATAGCACAATATATAAGTATTTTAAGAAAATAAAAAAACAAAAAGAAAAGTTAATAGTATAAGAAATTAATCTCTTCTAATTTTTTTAAGATAGACGTACAGACGCGTTATAACTTAAACGTGTAAAAAAAAATCCAGTCTCTTTAAATACTTCTATCTATAAAACTCTCGGTGCAATATCATGATTTTTAAAAAATAAAATTTATACAAGTAAAATAGGAAATTCACGTCAAAAGTTATATGTATTCGAGGAAACTCAACTCGATAATCTTAAAAATACGATCCACACGATGAAAGAAGGGATAACTAATTTTAAACTTTGAGCAAAAAAAAATTGATGATCATCCTTATGAATATTTAATAATAAAGATATCGATAATAGAAAGTAAACAAAACTAGAAATTCGAGCTTATATCTTGATAAAAAAAATGTGGAGATTATCATCTTAACATCGACTTTAAAAATATTTAAAAAGTAACTATTACTTTATTTTATAAATCACGATTCTTTAAAACAAAAGAAATACTATATAATTCCACCTTTTAATTAAATTCAAATGTATATATAGGGCACTAGGGCTAAATTAATTTATTTACTACTTTTTTTTTAAGTGTGTGTGTGAACACTAAATTATTATTCCTCTAATTTTGACTAATATCTAGATAGAGAAAACAACACATAGTATAGTATTGGTATAGGCCCTCTCTTAATATTTTTTTAAAGTATTATTAGAAATTCAATTAATTAAGGAAGAATTTATATACCAAAAGGGGGGGAAATTTATTTATTTTTTTTTAAAAGAATAATGGTTGATAGAAAGAATCAATAATATAAAATGGGAAAAGAAAGTGTCACGAAATTCTTGTTATCTTTTTAGGGTAATAAAATGCTTTTATTTTAATTTGATGTAACTTTTAATTTCTTTTCACCAAAATTAACAAAAATGAAAGAGGGAAACATGTGATTTCTCTATATTATTTATGCCCTTTCTCTAAGGGTATAATCGTGACCTTTAGAGACTTTTTTAACATGTCAAATTAATAATGCATGCAACGTCGGAGGTTTTTTATATGCATCGTCAATATAAATATCAGTTGACATAGTAAGTTAAGAGTCATTTTCTTTTTATTGAACTTACTCAACGTGAATTTTTAAATTATTAAATTCAGATTGTGAAATTATCAAATTGATCGAACTGAAAAATAAAATATTGCTACGAAGGGTATTTTATTATTAAGTTATATTCTGATACATTTTTTGTTTTCCTTTGATATTTAATATCCGCTTCAAAGTACAACCTTTTGGAACCGCATCGAAAAGTCTCACTATGAGAATAAAGTACTCTCAATTAAAACGAGCTCTATATACATGATTAGGAATCGTGATCAGACATCCGAACCCTAAATTATATTCTTCGTACGTAGCTATAATTGCATACCATGAATTTCTCCATTTTATGGGATTGAGCTCAAAACCTCTTGACTAAATAAAGTGAAGAAATCTCATTCATTTTGTTATATCGTTCTTCGGTGATATTCTACACTAATATAATTTATAAAATATTTATTACTTTTCATCAACACATATACATATAATTCACCTAGGTGAAACTATTTTTTTTCTTTTTTTATAATGAAACATAAGTTACTTTATTTAGCATTATTATATGTCTTCCCAAAAGAATATGATTGATCTGCTGGCAAAATTGCCATGCATGTGATGTTAACAAATACACCTTTTGTTATATAATATTGTTACCGCAATGAAATTAAATATAAGGCAATAATTTGGTCAACATGTAATGTAATTGCTACCCTACAAACATTTAAACACTTTACAACTCAATATAAAATTTCTTAGGACACGTGTCTAACAATTAGGGTAGTACAATTCATAGAAATACGTTAAAATTTTAATTTTATAAATTTTTAGAAATTAAAATGATCATACATTAAATAATAACAATAATAATATTTTAATTTAATATAAATATTATATATGTATATTATCGAATCTGTATACGAATTTCTAGCTCGAGCAGATAAGAGGGGGACTACCTTCACTACACCATAGTGACAAACGTGCTGAGGTTTTATTTTCTTAATTTAAAAAGTTGTCCAATTAAAGACTCTTTTATTTTCATTAATTATGCAATGAAGAGCATTTAATTACACACTAATTAATTATCTACTACCCCCTACACATTTATTTAAGTTTAGATTTATTTATATGACGATTCGTAGCTAGTGTATAGGGGGTTTAATTAGCTGGAAGTTTCTGTTGTGAACGAGTTTCGAGCTTGATATGACATAGTCTAAAAAATAAATCTTTAAAATTTGTTAGTAAGAAGCGCACAATTGTCTCTAATGCGTTGAGATCGAGTGTGAGTCTCTCTGTGATACTCGTAATATATAAGAAACGTGGAGTTTATGTGTTGTTGAAGATATATATTATGTGTTGTTGAAGATATATATTGGAAAATAATAAAAATTGTTGTTTCAGTCTATTCATCTTACTTAGCAGAAACGTCGGTGAAGATCGAAGAATCTTTAAATTTTTTAAAAAACACTTTTGAAACTTATGCTTTTTCTAATTATTTAAATATATTTTTAATAATATTTATTTGACGCTCATAATTCAATACTCACTAATTGATAAAACAAAATAAACACGTTATACTCAAATCAATAGAGTAATAATTAGTGCGAGAGAAAGTAAAAAAAATATAAATTAATTAAAAGGGATCAATTTGAATTAATACAGAATAGTACATACATAAGAATGAATGGAGAAAAAGAAAAAAAAAGGAGCAAGCAAAAAAAATTAAATATTGTTGCAAAGGTTCAAACACGAGTTGACGAGGTGGTAGACCTTCCCTTTGCCAATTGGGCTATTCCGTTGTATAGTCACTAGATGACAAAAATAATATATATTTAATTATTAAACATATATACATGTGTATATAACTTTTTTTTTCAAAAACACTAAATGCCGTAGCACCTCCCGCCCGTACACCTAAATCCGCCCCTGACTATTAGACCAAAGTGAATAATACGTATTTTTGAAAAATATAAAATTTTAAGATAGGAAAATCTCATGCATGTACGAGAAAGATAAATAAAATATTTTTTTATTTTTCTATTTTTTTTCAACAAAATATTTTTTCAAACACTAGGTCATCGAGTTGGAATTTTATGGGCCAAACTTAAATGGGCATTTCAATGATGGGCCTTGGAGCAACTATGGGCCAACTTACAGTTTGTTGGACAGCTTGGGCCCATCTTCATTTGACCTGCAGTAGTTGGGTCATTTGCACTTTTGGCCCAATTCTTTTTGCTGGTCTTTAATTTTTATTTCTCGTAACAAATAATTTTTTTGAAGTGAAATTTTTTATATATAGCATTCAAGTTATAACAGTAGATCTAAACTTTCAAGTTGTAACATTCATAATATCATGTTATAAATGAATTATTAAAAAAAAAAAGGTTGTTTGTAATATAATTAGAAACATTTGTTTTTAAAAAAATAAAAGAAAACGATTTTGTTGGACAAAAGGTCAAAAAACAGAAAAATAAATGTTAATTAAATTAGAATTGGTTAGAAATAATTATGAATTAGCATAATATTAGAGTGAGTTAAGGAAACATAATATTCTTAATTAGTTTAAAATCCTTTAATTCATGCTAATTCATAATTATCTCCAACCAATTCAAATTTAATTAACATTTATATTTCTGTTTTTTTCCTTTTTCCAACAAAATCGTTTTCTTTTATTTCTATTATTATTTTATTTTTAAAAAAATTAATGTTTCTAATTATTAAAAACCACCTCATTTTATAATAATATGTTATAACCTGATATTATTAATGTTACAACTTAAAGTCTAGATCTATTATTATAATTTGAAAATATTACTATAATATATACTATATAAAAAAAATTCACTACATTTATATCTTCTTTTTCAGAAAATTAAAGTTCTTATAAAAAAAACATTAGATAATTATCTAAAATTTTATTAAGTTATTAAAAACGTTAAGCCAACTGTCTAATAATTTACTTATAAGGAGATCAAACATTATTTTGCATAACTTTTTAAAAAATAGACTTAAATAAGTTATTTATAATCAGACAAAATAAATCGACGGAATATTCTCTTATATAGTTGATAGTTGATTGTTTCATATAAATGTTTTTTTTAAAAAAAATCTATTTTTTTTCTTTAAGTTGGAATTGGTATTTATATCATTTCTCTAATTCAATCAAGACTAATTCTAACCAAATTATTTAATTAAAAAATAACAATATTAAATAAATATTTTTGACTGATTATTGGTTCATTATGATGCATCTTTTAGATCAACTTTAATTAATTCTGTAATTAATTTTAACTTTAGTAGTGAAATTTGGAGAAGAATCAATTCAAATGTCAATTTTACAAGTGTTGTGTCATTGTTAAAAAACATTAAGCTCGAAAAAGACTTTTACCAAATGTTTGGTGAATGTTTTAGAATAATTTTAGTATGTAAACTTTTAACAAAAGATAATAAAAATCTTATGACTAATCGTTTGGAAAATATGAATTATCGTGTCATGGAAAGCAACTTTTGTTAAAAATAATCCAATTTGTTTTCACACTTCTAACATGAGTGAATAACCTACTCTTTGTTTTTAATTCGATATTCGATACTTATATTGAAGTCTGATTAAATTTTAATTCATGTTGAAAAATTTCATATTATGAGTAAAATACTTCCTAACGAAGACAACTCTATAGCAAAGAGACTCGAAGGAGTAAAGAGTTCTTACCACTAACCTATTCTTTTGATATATCATAATTTGTGCTAGTTCACATAATTATACTTTTGATTTTATATGTCTTGCCAAATAGTGTCAATACGTACATAGAATATTTGTTTGAGTAGTACTTCCACCGATTATCGAGTTGTTATGAAATATTTGAAATTTTTTCAATCGAAATACAATGATCTTCAGAAATAAATTTTATAATATATGAATCTAGATCAATCGAACTTGAATAAAAAATTAAAAATATATAAACACTTCCTCCTATTTATAATACGGATAAGTGTATATAATAACAAATTATAACCTAAAATAAATGGAATAGCTACTGTTTGATTTAACTGTGCCCCATAGTAAACTTTTGTCAAAGTTTACTAGTCGCCTCTCTCCCAAAACTCTCGCTCGCCACTCTCCCTCTGCTCGCCTCTCTCGCTTTATACAACAGAAGTGTATAAATTGTGTTTCTGTTTTGTATAAAGCGAGAGAAAATTGTATATACACATGCAAAAACATATATCTTCGTGCTATAAACTTAATTATACAATTTACAAACATTTTACTTCGATTCAATTGTATGCAAATGCAAATTTTATACAAATATTGCAGCGAAAAAGGCCAGTGAATTATACAATTGCAGTGAAATACAATTTTCTCTCGCTTTATACAATAGAAGTGTATAAATTGTGATTCTGTTTTTGTATAAGGCGAGAGAAACACATATATCTTCTTCCTATACACTTACAATTATATAATATACAAATATTTTACTTCGATTCATTTGTACGCAAAACAAATTTTATACACATATTGCAGTGAAATAGGCCAGCGAATTATACGATTGCACATTATACAATTGCAGTGAAATAGACCAGCGAATTATACAATTGTAGCAAAATAGGCCAGCGAATCATACAATTATATATGTATAGCGAGACCAATGAATTATACAATTTAGGCCAGCGAATCATACAATTTATATATGTATAGCGAGACCAGCGAATTATACAATTTAGGCCAGCCAATTATATAATTGTATATGTATAGCCAATTATACAATTATATGTCCGCTATAACATACAAACAAATATAAATTTTTTATTACCTATATGTGAAAGTTGCCTTCAAAATATTGTTTACTAAAATAGCCCTTGTAATTAGTAACACAATTAAATTATTTTCTTAATAATAGTAAATTTCGAAACTTTAGCCGGCATTTACGTTGAGAGTCTAAAATGGCATGTCAAGAATATAATAGTATCTATTTTCAAATTAAAAGAGAACTCATCAAGCAATATTAGTTACTCGTTTCATTTTATTTTAACTATCGCTTTAAATTTTTGTACATCTATTAAAATAAAATAGAACGTATAATTACTAAGTTATCCATATTTATTAAATGTTTTCCAAAATTGAGTAGTATAAGAACTACTTACTTTTTAATGTTAAAGATACATATAATTGGGAAAAAAATATCAATTTTTAGTTTCAAATTTCATAGTGATAATTATTTTAATTTAATTTTTTCTTTAAATTAAAACGATAGTTAAAATAAAATAGATAAAATAATTAGAAGAGGGGCCTCTAAGCATTGGATTCACCAATGAATTTTCTTTAAAAAATAATAATAAATTGTTTCAATAAATGTCATGACATGGGTATTAGCTACAAGAAATATATACTAAATTAGCTTAGTTAAGATGATCCAATAATAACACTAAAAGACACAAGCAAATCTTAGAATACACACTCTTAAGTAATTTTTTCGTTTCAAATTATCTGTTTTTGATATGAAGGATAATAGCAAGGTTGAAGAAAACACGTAAGACATTGAGGAATCGAGGCATCTAATTAAGACGTCTAAAAGTCCATTCCTATATTTTTATTGATATTATATTTTAAGATATAAATAAAAATAATAAAACTACAGTCATAATAAAATACTTTTTTAATTAATATTTTTTAACGAACTAAATAATTTGAGACAAAAGGTATAATTTTCATGAGTTGTTCAAGATTATATTATTTGCTTTGTTCTATGTGGATTTAGCTTTTCCAATGAAAGAATCATAGAAAGAATAAAGTATAAACTAAATATATTTACTTTGTTCTATTTCTTAATCTTTTCCTTTGTCGAATATGAAAAATAAAAAATACCTCGTTCGATCTTGAACAAGTTATTTACAATTATTAAATTATTTGTTTTCGCTAAAACTTTTTTTTTTAATTTAAAGCTAAGCAACACTATTAAAAACACGAATTTTCAAAGATGTTCTTAGAAAGAAAAAAAAAGGAAAATTAACCAATATAGTCGATGATCCAACTGATTAAAAATAGTATATAAATGCATAATATAAGTATAATTCATGAATAAAATGTGTATGGTTGTGTATAATGAGTCGATAATTTATGTATAGCGGCTAAAAAAAGCAAATAATAAATATGATTATTTGTATAAATATCCCATAAAAAATAGGAAAATTACGCGGATAAGCAAACTTATACTATGTAATTACTCATCATAGCTATAGTTTGATATAATTACCACTCGCGACTAACATTATACATTAATTACGTAGGCTGACATCGAGTTTGTATAAATAGTCATGTTTGTATCTGTATAATTCGCCAGGATATACAAATAAATATGTATAATATGCAATTTTTTAGCCTATATACATATAGAATTCACCTCTCTCCAGTCTCTGCCCTTTCTCGCTCGCCTCTCTCCTCCCTCTCTAAATCTCGCTCGCCTCTCTCCTCTCTCTTTCAATCTCGCTTGCCATTTATACAGATGTATATGTATAATATACAGTTATATATAATTATATACATATGCATTTCACTTCTCTCCTACTCTCTGTCCTCTCTCTCTCTCATCTCTCCTCTCTGTCCCAGTCTCGCTCGCCTCTTTCCTACCTCTCCCATCTCTCTTGCCATATATACAATTACATATGTATAATATACAATTATCTAACCAATATACATATACAATGCACATTTCTCCCACTCTTTTCCCCTCTCTCTCGCCTCTCTCTCCCAGACTCGTTTGCCTCTCTCCTCCAAATAACATGTAGCTACAATTGTAATTATCAAACTATAGCTATAGAGAGTAATTAATTATTTTTAAGTGGCTATATGTGAAAGTTCCCCAAAAAAAAATTGACTTCTCAATAAGATATCATAAAAGAGTCTATCGAAAATAATTGTGACAAACTAATTTTCAAAGAATTCAGAAGTTTCATTTTTTTAAAGTAGTGCAAGAGGCAAAAACATACAAGATACATTTGAACCTTTTTTACTACTTTATGTAATTCCTTTCCTTGTATAAAATCACAGAAATAAAATAAATTTTTAATCTACTCCCAAAAGTACAAAACTAGCATACTTATTCATGAAACAATGCCATTTAAAATATAAAATAATTCAATAAACTAATAAATATGTTGTTTACCTTGTGCTACAAAATGCTTTGATCTATGCCAAAAAGAAAACGACTTCTACAAAAAATAAATAATAAATAAAACTTCTAATCCCTCTTCATTTTCTCTGTGAAATTCTGCGAAAACAGTTTTTCTATCTGATGTAGGAGTGAGGTCTATAACTCGGCGTAAATCATATTTTTTCAATAACTTATGAATTTTACTGAATATATTACGTATAATTATTTGATTTTTTTTTTAATATATGGGTAAACTTTCAAGTAGCTTTCCTTTTTCTTTTTTTTTCTTATAAAAAATTAAACTATACAACTATTTCCAATTATTAAAATTTACAAAGTCAGACACCAAAACGAACAAGTCTATCATTGTACTTAACACCAACAAATGGCATTATATCTTTAATTTATAGCCGGCCACTTTAATTATTCTTCCTCTTATAATATTTACTTCACTTCTCACGAATCCATCAAAATTCCTTTTTTTTTTGCCTTCTCCAAATTCCATGATGGAAACCTGTGAACGTGATCATTTCTAATCTTGTCTAATTTTATAGAATCACGTGTTTGAAGATGGATAGGCTACTAACTCTGGAGCCATCGAACGTGGTTACAATACGACTTGAACCAGGTCAGAGGTGTTCAGGTGCGCTAACCCTGCGTAACGTCATGTACACCATGCCAGTTGCGTTCCGTCTGCAGCCAGTAAACAAGACACGTTACGCGATCCGTCCTCAATCGGGAATCATCTCTCCTCTAACAACAATCACTTTGGAGATAATTTACCGTCTCCCTCCAAACACAACTCTGCCAAGCACTTTCCCTCACTCTGATCACTCATTCCTTTTGCACAGTGTTGTGGCCCCAGGAGCAGCTATTAACAACAAGGCCACTTCCTTAGATATGGTCCCGATTGATTGGTTCACTACAAAGAAAAAACAAGTTTTCATTGATAGTGCTATAAAAGTAATGTTTATTGGTTCGCCTGTTTTGTGCTATCTTGTTAAAAAAGGCTATATGGATGAAATTAGAGAAGTTTTAGAAAAAAGTGACTATAATTGCAAGCCTGTTGACTCAGTTGACTGTGAAGGTAAAACATTATTACATTTGGCTATTTCACAAAGTAGGGCTGATTTAGTCCAATTGTTACTTGAATTTGGGCCTAACATTGAGGCCCATAGTAGATCATGTTCAAGCCCATTAGAAACAGCAGCAGCATTAGGAGAGTCTTTAATTGTTGAGCTTTTATTAGCAAAAAAGGCTAAAACTGAAAGAACAGAGTACTCTGCTTCAGGCCCAATACATCTTGCTGCTGGAAATGGCCATTTGGAAGTACTAAAACTACTCTTACTCAATGGTGCTAATGTGAATGCACTAACGAAAGACGGTAACACGGCCTTGCATATCGCGGTGGAGGAAGGTAGACGAGATTGTGTTCGTGTTTTACTGGCTAATGGCGCGAGAGCTGATGCGCGAAACGAGGGGAATTGTGATACACCTTTGCATATTGCTGCTGCATTAGGTGATGAACATATGGTACGCGTATTAATTCAAAAAGGTGCTGAGAAAAATATACGTAACAAATATGGGAAAACTGCTTATGATGTTGCTGCTGAACATGGACATAACAAGCTTTTCGATGCTCTACGTTTAGGTACGGATTTAGTATTTGAATATTATGAGTTCGAGTTCAAAATTTTACTATATTATGTGTGTTTTTTAGTGAACTTTTTAGCATATATACAGTATGATACAGATTTTGAACCAAAATTATTGAGTTGGATGAACTTGTAACCCCTTAACTACATTATCCTCTATATAGACTTACTATTATATGTATTTTAACATATTGTAACATGTTACTTGCCTCAATTTTTTCAAGGTTACTAATCTCACTCGTTATATATTGGTAAATTTATTAACTCTAAAACATAATATATCTAGTATAATTTCATAAGTATGGTCCGGCGGAGGATAAGATCAGTGGTGGAGCTAGAATTTATAATAAGGGGGTTCAAAATTTGAAGAACTAGACATGCGTACTAACTACAAGGGGTTCAATCTACTATAATACATATTAAAAAAAATTAACCATATATGTAGTAATATTTTTTGCCGAAGGGGGTTCGGATGTACCCCGGGCTAGCTCCAACCTGGATAAGATATACATAAACTTTACCCTAATTTTGATGGGGTCGAATGGTTGTATCTGATAGATCCTCGCTTCAAAAGAATTTCTATACAGTTTAGTGTAGAAAAGTTCTACACTATTAGATCACCTGAAAAATAACCACATGTAATTCTCCTTAAAAAAATCCCTTAATAACTTGAAAAATAAGATATATTATCTGCTGATAGTGTAGAAATTCTTTATATAGTTGGATCCATGATAATAAGTCAAATGTAATCTTATTTTGCAACTCAACTTCACTTACGTTCTCCTCCACTATAGGACTAAAAGTAACCTATATGACGAGTTTTACCTAGTGATTCTAAATCTTGAATTCGATCTTTATAGGTGATAGCTTATGTGTGGCGGCTCGAAAAGGAGAGGTAAGAACCATCCAACGTCTCCTGGAAAACGGAGCCATCATCAACGGATGTGACCAACATGGTTGGACCGCGTTGCACCGGGCTAGTTTCAAAGGACGAATAGAAGTTGTAAAAACATTAATAGAAAATGGAATTGATATAAATGCAAAAGATGAAGATGGATATAGTGCATTACATTGTGCTGTTGAATCTGGACATGTTGATGTAGCTGAATTACTAGTTAAAAAAGGTGCAGACATTGATTCAAGGACAAATAAAGGTGTTAGTCCGTTACGTATCGCAGAATCGTTGAAATATTCAGGGTTGACTAGGGTGATCATGCAAGGTAATGGAGTGAAAGAACAAGTAGGGGCAAAATTGGAAATGAATATCGCGAAATCCTACGGTAAAATGACTAAAGAAGTCGAAATTATTGGGAGTGTGAAAAAAAGAAGTCATGTGAATAAATCGTCAAGAGTTCGGAGGAGTAGCATTGATAGAACTATTTGATCGAATATGAAAAGACAACTCGATGTATTAAATTTTATCTTATAATTAAGTGATTCGTTGAGCCATCAACGGTAAATTGTTGTGTTAGGTTTTATATAATTGTAACTTTTCCATTCCTACAAAATTATCGTCCACTTATCTAACTTTTTTCTTGTATTGTTGTTGTACCTTTTAGGCCGTGTTTGGTGCGGAAGAAAATATTTTTATAATTTTTTTTAAAAATTTTCTTATGTATACTTTTGAAAATAATTTTTTTTTTTTGTATAAACATGTTTCTTAAGAATCAGAAAAATGACATTTTTAGTTGAAATAGAATAAATAAATTATATTAAGTGATATTAATTTTACACGCATTCGAGGGGTGTTAAAAATTACACTCTGTAGCTAAGTAAAAATAGTTGTGGGTATATATACGCCCACAACTATCATCAGACTCCGTTATTAATCGTTTCTTCTGATCCCCCTACCCAACCCAACACTGTAACATTGCGCTCTCTCATAATATTTATCTAAACTATATATAATTACTTCTGGATAATATTTTTTCTATAAACATACCAACCACTAAAAAATTAACCATTTATCTTACATAAATTTTTATTTCATACCATATACACCCTAATTTAATGTAACCAACATTTGTTAGATAACCAAAATTTGACATTTTATTATATGTATATATATATATATTAAAATCATTAAATTGATGTGTCATATTCCACTTGCTTTGAATATAATATAAACCACGTATTTTTACCAACCAACTAATTATAATGTCCCACACTCAACCTATCCGTCAAATTGTCTCTTTTCTCAACGACCACATAAAAAAGAAATATAGATTTCAAATATTTTTCACTTTATTCAAAATTATAAAATTAAAAACGATTAAATTTGATTGCAAAAGATAGAAGATAGTGTTTTACTCGAAATTTATGAATACGAAGTTACGTTGGCAAAAAGGTTTGAAACACTTTTTTGAAATTATAATTGAGAGTATATCATAATATGATATCGATTCAAAAATAAAAAAATATTAAACGAATAATTTTCATGGTCAAACAGATTATTTAAGTTCCATTTGTAAGTAAACTCAATGTATATATACTTCACTTTCATTTGACTCTTAATCCATTTATGCTTTACTTTGTGAACATAATTTTGAATACAAAAACATATAATATATATGATTTTATCACTTTCACCAACCTCACCAAACCCCTCAAACTAAAAGGGAAAGAAAAAATTGTATATAAAAAAAAACACATAAAATGTCACTAATCTTTACCAACTTACTTTGAATTATACATGACTTAATTCAAGTTAATTATATTATATCTCAATACGTCTCTTTTATGTGTAATTATTTTTTATGGATCAAATACTCTTTGAATAATGTTGGTGAAATTTGACTATATAGTAACATAAATGATTTGCTTGCTCCAAATATAAATTTTTCTATTGGTTTTGGGTCCAACGTATTATTATATGATATATGATAAAGCCTTTTATTTCCATACGGCATTGTATTGTACATGTAAAAACGATAATTTTATGAAAATTTATCAGACATATTCAATTTCAATTAGGACTCTATCATATTTAAATTTAGTTATGATAGTACTGCATTCAAAACCCTGATTCATGTTTATATAATGAATAATATATTTAACAAACATCCTCATAAACTCTGAAATATATTTAAAGACATCGAAAAACATGTGCGACTCTTCTTGACAAACAAAATCAAGAATATCCATTCAAATATATTCTATGGAGGTCCTAATGTCCCCTTGAGTCAAGAAAATTTTTAGAAAAGAAAAATCAAAGAATAAATAAATTAATGTCCGTAATATTTATCAATAAATTTATATTTTTTTATATTTTATTTGTGATTATAATTTATTTTTAATCACCGTAAAATTTTATTATAAATTCATGTATCTTTTGATGGTACTATTTAAAAGAATATGTCAATCAATGTATAGATTTCAATTCTTTTTCTTTTAGGAAAAAAAAATAGAAAGAAAGAGAGAGAATTGGAGTATCATTAAAAAAAGCAATTTTTAAAAGAGACAAAAATAGCTTAAGGGCCCGTTTGGATGAGCTTAATAAAAGTAGCTTTAAAAAAGTACTTTTGAAAGTGCTGAAACTTATTTTTAAAATAAGTAGTTATGCGTTTGGATAAAAGTGCTGAAGTTGTTATGCCAAACGTGAAAGGCAAAAATAAAAGAAAGAGATGTTAGGGTTATATGAGTAATTTAGAGATTGTATAAAAATATTAAGGAAAAAAACATAAAAATGTGGTCAACTTAAAACAGCTTATAAGCTAAAAAAAAAGCACCCCTACCCCAGCTTTTAACTTTTGGCTTAAAATAAGTTTTTTTAACTTAAAATAAGCTATTTTGAATATTGTCAAACAGTTAAATAAGTCAAAAACCAACTTTTAAGTCAGTTTGACCAGCTTTTAAGCTGAGCCAAACAGGCTCTAAAACGTTTGCTTTCTAACGTGATGAAATAAGTTATTATCTTATCTAAAAATTTAAAATTTGTAAAAATATAGTTTTAATTATTTATTATATTATCTCTTTTTTTAAAATATAGTTTTAATTATTTATTATATTATCTCCTTTAATTTTTCTAAAAAATTATATATCAACATGAAATCCGATATATATGGTTTATACACTATATATTATGATAGGTGAGAAGACATATTTGAGATTTAATTAATTCAGATTTATAGCATACAATTATAAGGTTCATTAAAGAAGAAAACATTCCAAATTAGAATAATTTTTTTTCCATATCTAAGATTTAAATTCATGATATTTAATTTTATTTTTATTTTTTATTAGAAAAATGACTTTTTGAGACAATAAACAATCACCCAAAAAAAAAAACTATAAACACCGTTACATCTCGTTGCACCATATTATTTATCAAATATTGCAAATAAAAAATGATATTTAAAAGTACATATTACTTGAATATTCAATCACACCTTGCTTGGTACTTCTCCAAAAACAAATTAATTAAATTAATATAACTAATTAGATACATTGAAGTCTAATTTAAAATTAACATTTCATATATATATTCTAATCGTTTTTGCTAAATCCCATAGCGTTAACATGTTTAATACATCATCACTATATATATAATTTGATTTTTTTTTTGTCTTTTCCCCTTCTTTTGGAGCTTATAAAAAAACACTAAACTAATAATATTTTAATTTATAGTTGATGAATAACATGTTAATTATTTGTTACTTACCTATAAGATTCCATCTAATATTTGAATATTTAATTTTTTCTCTTTTTTGTACTCACTACTAATGCACTTAAATTTTAATATTAGTATTTTTGAAGTTTTTTTTTCTCTAGCTATCAATTATTGTTGAATAAGATATGACCACTCATATTGCATGATTTCACTAAATTATAAAGAAATAATCTATATTATTCTAGTAATAAATTAAAGTCAAGTCTTTATGACTCGTTTAATATGAAAGATGATATAAAAAAATAGCGAGATAGATAAAAATATTTAATTTTTATCAATATTATTATCATAAATATAATTATTGATAGCCACCAAAAATATCTGACATTGATGGCCATATAGTGGCAAGCATCAACTCCAACACATCTGAGATTCCTCATATCAAAAAATAAAATAAAACAAACACAGAAGAAAATTATTTAACGGGATATAAAAACAATTTAAATAAAAACTAATAATATTACCAACTCACTTGGCTACCAACATGATGGGTTAGGTTCTAATATGATGATTCGAGATTTCTTTATTTTTAATTAAAAATTTTATATTTAATTTTGTGAGCGAATTGAAAAAATCATATTAGATGTGTTGTTATCATAAAGAGGCAATGCAATATCGAACACTGAACAGGTAAAAAAAGGTCAACTAGAGATGTTTACGTTTAAGGTGCAATTTTAAAATTTTAATATGTAATTTTTTTTAAAACGCTTTATAATACACTATAGCAGTGTGATATTGCTCGATATTTTAAAGTTTGATTTTCAATTTATACGATGAGATAAAGTTGGTAATCGCGAGTTCTTCGACTTTACAATGCGAGATTATGATTTCAATAATGGAAAATAAACGATTGTATAATTGAAATGAATGAAAGTACGGTGTCTAGTACATATTGTTGAAAATGACACACATATTTAAATAATATGTATTATATATGGTTATACTGAATTAAATATTTTAATTTATATTTAGTAGTAAAGGAGACAAGAATATGTTAGTTGGAAGGATTTTTAGAATTTTATGGCGTTATATATATAAAAGTTGCAAAGGTTTTAAGATTTTATTGCTTATATAAACACACACTGCAATTTAGTATTTTAGAAAATTATATTTGATATCTTATTATCTTTTAATAAATATGTCAATGTTATTGAGTATTAATTTTGAAATATTATACATAATATATTTTAATTTCAATTTTTAAAAAATATATATTTTTTCTTAGATTCCTCTAAATTTTTTTATCTTTTTACTTTTTTAATGGCTCAAATTCATCGATCGAACTATAATAGGAATTTTTTTTTGTCGGCTGCAAATGCACGTTGACATGGAAACTAAATGGCTACTATTATATATATATAATAATAATAATAAAATATATGTTATATATATATATATATGCGCATATACGAGAGGGCGGTTTGAAAAGAATTTATAAGTTTTTAAATTGTTGAGTGAATTTTAGAGTTTGAAGTTAAAAAAGTAAAAATAAATTGTTAAAAATTTCGAAAGAATCTGTCAATTTTTTTAATTAAAGGGGTATAATTATTTTTGATGAAGCGATTTTTTTCTGACAAAATGATATCGTGATCTTTTCTTTTTAATCTTTTCTTTTTAATGTCACTAAGAGTGCAACTTCTCAAAAAAAAAAAAATTAATTGAAATCGCTAAGATTTTCTTTTCCTTAAAAAAGTTAATAGAGGCAGGCAATTTGGTCTAACATTTGATCTGCCCCTGCAACATATGTTAAATTTTAAAAAAAAATCGCTGCGCAGCGATCTAAGGAAAAATATTTTTTTTTTGGATGAGCAGTGATTTTTGTGTGTTTTTTTTTTAAAATAACAAGTCAATTTTATCAGAATCCTTTTGGTTAAATAAATTTAATATATTCTTTTAATTTTTTGATAATTTTTTTTTGGCCTTTTAATTTTGCACTCGTGAATTTCAAATTGAAACTAAAAAGGAATTAAAATTTAAAAAAAAAGTTATAAGGCATAAACATGATACACACATTTTAGGAGCGTACTTTAGTTTATATTTTAAGGTGTAAGTGAACATTTAATGTTTACAAGTTTTGATGGTGAATTCAGATTTTAAGTTTATAGGTGTTTGATTTTGAAATATAAATTTATCGTAATTGTAGAAGTGTTCAACTAAATGTTATAGTTAAAAACTCTCCATTTCTAAGAAAAAGTAAATAATGTTACAAGATTTTATAACCGTCCAAAATTTTCTCATGAAAAAAACAAAAGAAAAATACTGAACTATTATCATGAGTTATTACATAAATATAATAAAAAATTTAAACAGAACATAAAAAAATATATATTTAAAAAAAACAACATTAAATTAGTCATAGAAATTTGAAGCAATCAAGTTTCAAACCCACGTTCAAAAAAAGAAAAGATTAAATCCGCCATAATTCAATAATACAAAAAAATAATACGTATCATATTCTGAAATACTCGTAATCACTTGCGAAATAAAAAAAATCATGGTAAATTT